CTTTGCTCCCCTCCCTGCCGGTCAGTGGCGTTGCATGCAGCCGCTGCACTGGGACTGATAGGGGCAGCAGCAGCCCTCTCCTGTCTTTCTCCAGCTGGGCGGGTGGAAAAAGAGGGGGACTTCACAAACAAAAGAGAACTATGTTCACGAGTAAACTTGCTCACGAGTAAACTGCAGATTAGAGGCAGCTTGCAGGCAGCGAAAGAAACCACTTTGGCTCCGGTGCCAAAAGAAAGGGGGGGAAAAAGAGGGAGGGTTGGAACAGGGGAAGGGCAATCTTTTCATTGTTTTAACTCCGTAGCAATATCCATCCCAGCTACTGCTTTCCTTGCTCAGCAGCAGAGCTTTCTTTTTTTTTTTAAGGTTAGTCCCCTTCTTCCCGGGAGAGAGAAGAGCGGGGGCAGGGAGAAAAAAAGAAGGCAGCGTGGGATGGTGGGGGGTGGGAGCGGGGGTCTTCTTAATCCCGGCTGGATGCTGCTTCCTTGGGTCCCCTCAACTTTTCAGTCCCAGAAAGCAGCTGAAAAATGCCTCCTGTTTCCATTTTCTGTCCTTGCCTCCTTCCTGTTTTTATTTGGTTTTTCCCTCCCACCCTAAAGTTTCAAGCAAAAGTGGGGGGGAGTCTTAATGTCTGGTTAAAATGGGTAGTACTTCCATTTAAAGAAGAAAAGCATAGCTCAGATTATTGCTATGATTTTTTGCTCCTATATTCTGTTGTTTAGGTATAAATTTTGTTAATGTAGAAATTTTACTTACAGCCTATTAAACAACGGAGCTAGCTGTCTGCCTGCAATCATGTGTATCTATTAGGAGTAATTCTCATTGAAAGAGAGTAGCCTTACTGCCAAGTAAACATGCATAGGCTTTACATTGAGAGATAGGGTATCAATTAGTATGAGGTGTATTAGAGAGAGAAATGAGAACTTCTGTAACAACAGATACTTTGTGCCAAGACCAGGTGTGTGTGTGTGTGTGTGTGTGTGTGAGAGAGTGAGTGAGTAAGAGAGACAGAAAGAGATAGACAGAAAGAAAGAAAGAAAGGGAAGGAGAGAGAGATAGAAGAGAAAGAAAGAGGAAGGAAGGGAGAGAGAGAGAAAAAAAACTCTGTGCCATTATTTTTAATTGTTCCATTATTTATTATGTATTAATATTTTACTCTGTCCCTTCACCTAGAGTGATTTTACTGCCTTTCTTTTGCCCAGGGCTACCACATATTTTTCAGGGATTTACATGCATTCAATGACTATAGTCCAGAGCATAAGTATGTGCGTGTTTATTTGTACATCAGGTTGCATAAGTCCATCTTAATATGCTATTACTGGTATGTGATGTTTTGTATACATACAGAGAAAGAAGCACTCTTATGATCTTTGCCTTTTAGGCTTGCTGTCAAACATCAGCCATAATACTAATGACTGTTTTGAACAATATGCAGGTTCAAATGGCTATTTTATATGTGAAATTATGACTGAAATATTTCTGCACCTATATTGGTTCACACTGTCAGGAAGTTTCTTTACAACCAACAAGGAATGCTTATTTTCTGAAATCATGTACATTCCAGTTTTTTCCCCTTCTGGGTTCAATGTGAGCTTAAAATGAGCACAGGACCACAACCAAGTAAACATATATAGTAACAGTACTAACAATCATTAGGTGGAGTAGCCATTTTAGATTATTTATGTTGGGTATTAGGGAAGTACCCAACAGGCTACCTGATCAATGCACAGCTGATTCCTTAGCTCTTAAATCAATCTCCTGAATTTAAAATATTATATAAGCACTAGTCTAAAGAAAGATTCCACTATCAGTCCAGTATTATATTGCAATCTCACATGTGTCAGTTCTACAACAGAACTATTCACAACAGATATTTATTCGAAGCAAGTCCCATTGACTATATGAGAAGGTGCATATTCCCAGGTAATTAAGAAATGACTGGGTGCTTAGGTTGAATGTTTAAGGTTGCAGACTCCTGACCTACCCCATCCCATTGCTTCACCTTGCAGCCAGCCCTGTAGGCCTGCGCCCGCCTCCCACCTGGGCCCCTATCTGGGCGGCCTACCTACCCCAGTTGTATCACTTTGCCCTGCAGCCAGCCCGAACACCCGCCTTGGACTGCCTCTGACTGCTCCAGCAGGTCATTTTTATTTAATTAATTTAATTAAGAATGCTATAATGAGCATAAATGATGACAGGTCAAAAGTGCGAGGACCGGTCAGAAACCACTTTTTTCAGCCCTCTGGGTAGTCCCTATGTGCATAGGGACTACTCAGAGGGCTGAAAAAGTTATTTTTGACCGGTCGTCACACTTTTGACCGGTCCTCGCACTTATGACTGTCCTCACATTTTACATTTTGCGCCCTATCTTTTCACCGTGGTGAAGAGAGGTAGTTGTGAAATGAGTGACACAGTTGTTAAGAATGCTGCAATGGGCATAAATGTGAGGACGGACATAAGTGCGAGGAACAGTCAAAAGTATGAGGACCTGTCAGAAATCACTTTTTTCAGCCCTCTGGGTAGTCCCTTTGTGCATATGGACTACTCAGAGGGCTGAAAAAGTTATTTTTGACAGGTCCTCACTTTTGACCAATCCTTGCACTTATGACTGTCCTCACATTTTATGTTTTGCGCCCTATCTTCTCACTGTGAAGAGAACTAGTTGTGAAATGACTGACACGGCTGTTAAGAATGCTGCAATGGGCAGAAACGTGAGGATGGTCATAAGTGTGAGGACCAGTCAGAAGTGACTTTTTTCAGCCATCTGAGTAGTCCCTATGCACATAGCCACGGCCACCCTGTCACATGACTAGCTAGCCACGCCCACCCGGTCACATGACCAGCTAGCCATGCCCTCAGCTAAGCCACGCCCACAGAACTGGTTGTTAAAAAAATTGAATCCCACCACTGCCCACACCCATAATTTTATACGCCATGCCCTCACACATGCACGTGTGACCTCCCCCCACCCCTGGCATGTGATGGCCCAGTAGGCCCGTTTTTCTTTCTCACCTGGCTCCAGGGTCTCTAGGAGTTTGGGGAGGGCGAAAACTGCCTTCCCCACCCACCAACCCAGAGGTCCTCCAGAGGCTGAAAATGGCCCGTTTAACAACTTCTGGTGGGACCAGAAGGCCCGTTTTTTGCTGTCTCCAGCCTCCAGGGCCTTTCTAGGAGTTTGGGGAGGGCGAAAATTGCCTCCCCCCCCCAGAGGTCTTCCGGAGGCTGAAAATGGCCCTTTTGACAAATTCCGGTCCCACCAAAAGTTGTTAAATGGGCCATTTTCGGCTTCCAGAGGACTTCTGGGAGTGTGGGGAAGACCGTTTTTGCCCCCCCAGACTCCTAGAGAGGCCCTGGAGCCAGGTGAGAAAGAAAAACGGGCCTTCCCCACCCACCCATCCCCAGGCCCTCCAGAGGCAGGAAACAGCCTGTTTCCCTACTTCTGGTGGGCCCAGAAGACCCGAAAATCAGCTTGCAGAGCTGAGCTCGCGTGCCCACTGCATGCGTGCCATAGGTTCGCCATCACGGTGCTAGGTACTTTGTTTAGAAAGTGAGTCCTTTGCTTCAGGAGTCTTGTTTCCTTGCCAAGCCTGAGCTTTTTGCACCTCCAAAATATTACTTTTTCTTTTCTGCAGTTCTGTATTGGGCAAATGCACTGTTTTAAGAAATACTTTCACTTGAATTCATTCTATCTGAAGCCATTAAAAGTATCCCTGGAATGTATTTCACTACATTCAAATATCTGTATATATTTCAATAGCTCTTCTATCAATATTTCACCTCCTCACCCCTCTCATTAAGGAAGCTATAGATGGAGGTGGCACTTAATGAAACAGTTATGCACAAGTGTGCCCACAGTTTATAAACCTTTCCTTTAGACTAAGGAGAGTGGATGCTGGGCATGTTTCTGATGGTTGAGGGAGAGAACAATTGCATGGGCAATATTGCAAAGGAGGCATGACTGTATCACAAATGCAGTGGAGAGCATACTGTTTTCTGTTTTGGATTATTTAATGGCTTGTGGAAGATATTCCTTGAGTATTTTTGATTGTAATGAACTTTTGACAACTTTTGATTGACTTACTGATTGATTGACCAGATTGCAGAAGATATTCAGAGTTTTTAGAAAAGTATTAAGCTTCTTCTAGGAAAGAGTTTAAATTTACATTTGTGCAATCTAAACTGCAGAAACCATGCTGTAAGTTTTTAGAACTTATGGTCAGTGGGCATTCAGGAAAGCGCTTAAAGGACCAGATGCTATCCTGGTCATTCATCTGTGCCCTACATTTTTCTACCAAAGTTCAGCAGCCTGAAGCATTTATCCAGTCTGCCCCATACCCTCACACGGAGAGCCAATTTGTTCTAGTAGTTAAGGACCAGCCTACAAAGTGGGAGATCCTGAGTTTGCCAAATGGATGACTTTGGACCAGTCACTTTCAGTCCAATTCATCTCACAGGGTGATTGTTGTGGGGAAAATAGGAGAAAGAAGATGAGTTGGATATGTCCACCGCACTATGTTATTTGTAAAAATAATAAAGGCAAAATAAAAATTAAATAGCTAAATAAATAACTTTTTACCACTGTCTAAATAGCTGCAGGCCACTTTGTTCCATCCTCTTATAATAGTGTATCAAAACTACATAAGTGGTCAAGAAAGAGGTTTTGCATTAGAGCCATATTTTGAAATAGAATTAGATCATGACCAGTTGCCAGAAGAATACTGATTCATCTCTGTGTGATTTGTATCCTTTACTAGTGCTCCATTGAATGGTTCCATTTTGCTTGTGTCGGCTTGACAACAAAGCCAAGAGGGAAATGGTAAGTAACTATACTCTCTAATCCCTGGTTTTCTTTGTAAGATTTCTGAAATGTTGGGATATCAAATTTTGGTCCCTGATAGAGGAGGATTTTTTCAAAGAATCAACAGTAGGAATAAAACATCATTCCTATGTTTTATTCCTATACCAAAGTCTGTTTAATATTTATAGGAGCTTAATAGAGTTGCGACATTTAATCAAATCTCAGTTTAATAAGGTTTATGTATTCCATTCCCATGGATAAGGAAATAAACCAGGAAGCCAGAAGTAACATTGCATTAAAAACTACCGGCTTTTGAACTTAATTAAAATATTAATTATGATATCTCCATTTGGCCATGCATTATTATTGTCAGGATTTTAGAACGCACAGTTCATCCTCAGATTTCTCCTATTAGTCCCATTAGTGATTTCTCAGACTCCTCAGGATCTTGTCCTATAAATGAAGAAAAAAATTGTTTTAGTACCTTCCAGCAAGTGACAAAGATCTCTTGGAAAAGTTATAATCATTGGAGAAATTCAATTTGGCGTATCAAGGCCACAATTTCAGCATCCAATTTCATTTATAAATGAAATGAATCTCTCTATTGAGCATTTGGAACCCAACTCCTGCATGACCACATGTTGAAAAAGCTTCAACTGTATTATTCAGAATTTGAATTCTATGTGGTTAGTGGTATGACTATTTATACATACACTGTTTGTATAGATATTTGAGAGTGGTACAAAATATTTAAAAGTGATAGTGTCAAAATAATACCTTAAAATATTAGATTTTTTTTTGCTTGCAGTAATATCAGCTTCTTAATCAGTTCTGTGTATTTTTTTCTTGGATAGCATTGATCCCCCAATTATTGCTTTGCCTTTTCTTCCTGATACAGGTTCTGTCCTCGCTGTTCCCAAGAAAGGAAGAAAAAATAAATTTTATCATCTTCCAAGGTCCAGATACTGTTTCCAAAATACCCTGCTCTGCAGTTGGGGTTCAGCACTCTTCTCCCAGTTCCTGGGGCTTCGTTAGGTAGGGGTCCCCACTCTGGGTGAGCAGAGCTACTTGTGAATGGCTTGTATCCATTGATGGTTCCTGTGTGTACTGAAACACTCACTGCTTGTCCTTGAGAGGAAGATGAAGTCAGTCGTTGTCCTACAGCCCTTTTCCCTGCATAGGTTTTAAAACCTGCATCAGTTTAAAGGAACAAAGATTTCTTGGTGAGGGAATATCTGATTGAAGAAACTGCAGTTTTCCTTCCAGACTTCCTAATTGGTGTTCCAGAGGAGGGGCCATCAGGTCAACCTTTCATGCAGTATCTAATTTAAGAAGACAGGCTTTTTATTCTCCCTTCTCCACTACTACAACATTCCATTTTTTAAAAGGAGGGAGCTATACAGAGGCAACTGGAAAGTGACCCATTTTTCTTCATGGGAAAAATATTAAAAAGTGATTTTTTTTTTCCCTGTCCGAAATATTTCATGGATTTTGTAATGGAAGCCAACCAGACTCCAGTCTTTTCTTGGTGGTGCTTGTTTTAGGGGAAAACCCCATATTGTAAAATATGCATTAAATAAAACCAATTCAATATATGTCATGAGTGATTTTCACTTTTGAGTGGACGGTCGCGTGATTGATCTAATTATCAGCTGCTAATTCTTCTACTTCAAAATATCAGTTTGCCATTTAAGCACTTCAGGGTATTAAATTGTTTCTCCCAACATGGAAAGGGTGCTAGAATAAAAGAAGGAGCAATTAGTGGAAGGGAAAAAGTAAGTAGTAAACTGGATGAATAAGTAGGATATTTAATAAGATTGAGCTAAATGACTTTTATACTTGAAAGAACTGCCTAAATATATTATATATTTTGCTTCCATCCATACCAATGAGTCAGATATCGACATTTCATCATTTATTTTAAGAAACTCAATATTGTTAGTATACAACTTTTACTAAAAATGCAACATAACAGTAAGTAAAACAGCAGGATTTACATTACAAGAAGTTCCTAGGGATTGTGGGAGAATATTTTTGTTGGGTATCTAAAAGAGAAGCGAGGCACTAGATGAAACTAAAATGAAAGGAATTATGGGGTCTCTATCTATGGTTAAAAATTCTATAGCCATCAATACTTCTGAAGATAGGAGCAATTGAGAGAGGACAAATGATAGCTAAAATCTTATCAGAACTGAGTGATAAGTGGGCTATCAAAATATATTCAGCGATTACTGGTATTGATGGAAAGGAAAATGGGAGTTTTATTATAGGACCTTGAAGTGATGCATACTATCTACAATTCTCTGTTCTGGTTTTATCTCCACAATAATACTATGAGAGAACACTGGGAAACGTGGCAAATGCTTCCTAGTGATTTTCTATAGATGAAGGTGTCTTGAATTTGCACCCTGATCCTAGCCTACTACAAATGCTGACTGAATTTGTACCTGATTATATAGTTTTATGTAACACTTTACTTGCACATTAATAGATCCAACGTTGCTTTGAGATCATAGTATTTGAGTTCAGTAGCCCTATAAATCCATTAAATCAATACATAAATTCCCTACTTAGCACTGCACTGAACTGATGTTGTTTAATCAATTTCCTACTTAAATGCATACCTTTTGGGATGGGGTGGGGAAAGTCAGTCTTGATTTCTGGCAACTGCCTAGGACAGGTCCCTGCAGAGTTCTTGTCAAGATTTTGGAAGTGGCTTGTCCTTACTTCTAAGAGAGTGATAGGCTTAAGGTCACTAAGTAGGATTTGACCCTGTAGCAGGACTAGAACTTGCAGTCTCCCATTTCAATCCAGGTGCCTCCCAAAGGTAAACATAGAAGATCTAATAAAAGACAATCTTCCAGAACTGGATTATCTTGCAGCAAAGTATGAAACTCCCAATGATTCAGTCTATTGTTTTAAACATTATGGGTGTTTTCTACAGTACATTCCTTTGGAGCTTTATGCCTTCAACTTTCTCATTCTGCTGATTTTAAGAAAACTTAATACCTGATAAATCAATATTGCATTGCATCCTTGGCATTAACATGAGGTATAATAATAGACAAGTTTTTCTCAAATGAATCGAGTGCATCTTGTGGAATTTCCATTCATTTCACAAAAAGTTTTCAATAGGTTGTATCTACAATCTGTCTGCCTACCATATTCTGATTTTTAACAGCAACCAAAGGCCAGGAACATAGAAAAACCTGTTGCTTTACAATATGGTGACCGCTGTTTACTCCCTATATGCCTATATGGGTCCTATATGCCCTATATGGGTCCATTTCCTACCAGCATTTTTAACCTGCCTAGAAGATTCTTGTTTCTCCTGCAATAGCTTCAACTGTGAGGTCATTGTGTTCTCATTCTAAAAGTGTCTGGTCTTGTTAGCCTTTGAAATGGGGTGTATTGGTGAGAAGTGGAGAAGTCTAACATGAAAGAAGCAAAATGCCAATCCTGAGGTTCAGGACCTCACCATGGGCCTTTCTGGTGGGTGAGTGGCTGACTTACCTGTATGACGAGAAACTGTTCAAACTACTGCTTTTCTATCAAATTTGGCTTAATCCATCACTGCCATTGTACCTGCTAGTTTTCTCTATATTTTACCCCATGGTCTCTATCCAACAGTTCTTGCCAATATGGAATGAAATAAGTCCCAGAAACTTTAGTACTGATCCATTTCTTCTCATATATTGGACCATCACAAAGCCTAGAAATGTGAAGTCCTTAATAACAGCAAAGATGCTCCCAAAGCTTGGAAACTGAACTTTCACATTTTGGTGAAAAATGTGACATGTATTTTTAATTTGACATGTATTAACATTGCTGACAATGTTTTTTTCCTGTGTTTTGAGAGGTAGTTTTTTTCCAGCCAGGACAGTATGAAGAATGGCTTTGTCTGCTTACCTGGATTAAAGATTGCCATTTGATAAAGCTGGGAAGTATGTGGGTGGAAAGATAAAATCTGAACTGGCATTGCTTCCTTTTGCTCTTAAAGTGCTATATGTGCATATTAGGAAAAGATTTATCCCTTGGCTTTTGCTTCATACATGGCAGAACATTACTTCTTCACATTGCACTTAAGAGGAAAAAAGTGACTTTTAAAAATATTTCACCTTTAACTGAATGTATGCCTGTTCTATTTTGGGATTTTCAAATCAAAATCAAATCAGAATGCATGCTCATTAAACAAATTGAAGAAATTCTTTTCAATGACTTTAAAATATCCAAACATTTTACATCCATATTTGAACAATAGACCCCCTTATATTTTAAGTCTAGAAAAGCCTTCAAAAGAAGAAAAGAATATATCTTAGGGAAGCTGATGGCTCTTTATTTCAAGGAAATCTAAAAGTGATGTTATTCAATTTCCATAACGAAATACCAGATTTAGTTTGTTTTGGATTTTCAAGTACTGTACCTTGTGAAATTCACAGTAATACTCAATGCACATTTATTTAGCATACACTCCATTTTCTTCAAGAAAAATGGCACAGAAAAGAATTTACATATCTTACTCTTAACCTTTTCTACTATACAAAGCCTTTTAGAATTGAGAAAGATCACTTCTAGGAAGTGATCCTAGGAAGTTTTGCTCCTAGGCTCCTAGGAAATTTTGCTTCTCACCAGAATCCCAACATCAATTCATCAGAGCCTGATGCATATATAAACCCAAAATTAAACATTTTTTTGACTAGTAATTTGCCTTTGAGTTTCAGAATTTATTTAAATTCAAAGTTTTGTCATAAATCCATTTTGATCTCCAAATTTTCATTTCAGTAGTATAGTTTAGAGGAAGAAGGAAAATTATTTTTGTTACTGGAAGTCTAATCTTGCTACACTATTGGAAATTTATCAGTAGACCAGTTTATTTTTTGCTCATCAGTTTTGTTGAAATATTGGAGGTTGATGCCAATGCTCTTCAGAGTTTATTGATATTAATAAAATATCAGAGCATTGTTCTGTCCTGTTTTTCCCCCCAATTAATATATGTACTTTCTTGTGCTGTTTTCCTTTAGGATTCCCAATCTTTTTGACACCAGCAATCCAAAGTTCCTTGTCCTCAAACCCAGGCAGCCCACTCACGGACGATGAATATAAGGTCTTCTTCTCTTTCTTGAGTCCCACATGGAAGGCAAACCTCGTGTGTCAGATCCGCCGTAACAAAGGTTGCCATGATCCTAAAATAATAGAGCTGGATCAATTTGAGAATCATGGCCAGATCCCAGAGGGTACGTGGTGCACACTTCAGATTTCTTCCAGCACTCTTTTGTGGTGAGAGTTGCTGGTAGCACTTGATTTCCCATACATAGCTAGTTTTTCATAACCTGTAGTTAAAAATTCTTAATTTAACCCTGAAATATCTATGTGTATGCTATAGTAATAATCTTCCACTTTTTGAAAACATGGATCCATCTTTATCCCCAGCTCTGCACAGGGTGGGACACAAATTTGATTTGGTCAACATTCCTTCCTCTTTGCTCATTTTGTTGTGACGTATCCACACTGAAGACATACTGTGACTTTAGAGACACCAATCTTTTTATTTTTTTCATTTTAAAATGAAAATCTAAAGCTTTGAGATTATCTTTACCCATTTTGACATATAGGCTGATATTCATAGTTTTATCATAATTGACTAGTCTATATCTTCATGTATATAAAGAATATAGTGAAGTGTCAACTAATTTAGTGTGCCCTATGGGCCTTCGTTTTATCCAGGCCTAGAACTGTTCACCTGCCAAGACACTACCAGGCTGTGAATTAACAAGCATTAAGAAGTCTTTCCATGAAAAGAAAATAACTTAGTAGTATTTCCCCCACCCCACCCCACCCCACCCCCATTTCCCCACTAACTATGCATTGGTTTGCATGTATGTGTCTATAGACAAAACCCCTCTTGAAAGGTAGAAGTTGATAGCAAGGGAAGATGAGTCGCTAAAAGAGTGCAAAGGCCTCAGATGTGATTGCTCTGTTACAAGATGGCAGTAAATCCAAGTTCAAAAGCCTGAATCATTGTGACTGTGGCAGCGCGGGTACTAAACTTCATTCAATAGCTTTCCTAAATGGAGTGGTAACAGTCAAATATCAACTACAATAAGACAGTTATAAATGCCAGAGAAGACTGCCTTGTGAACACTAATCCTCTATGGAATTGGGAGAAGAAAGCCTGAAGATTGATTGCTGGTGCTGTATCTGCCCTAGTTTCAAATAAAATGCTAAAGCTGAGCAATAATGCTGGGAAGCAGGATACACAGTAAGAAGGCTCTCCAATGAAAAATGGACAGATGAACAGTGTCAGGAAATAATCAGCCGGTTTTCTTTCATGCCTAGAGGGGCTGAGGAAACGTCACATTAGAAATGAAATGATTTTTACTTCTCAAATGAGCCAATAGAGGGGGCATTCGGCCAGTGGGTTATATATAATTGGATTTACTTTCTTTTCTTTTCAATAGAGCACTTATGAATTGCAGTTCTATAAGGAAGAATAAAGGTTCAATACAAAGGAAAGTTAGCCTCTGTACTCAACTTATTCCCAGTAGTTTGGCAGGATGATCATTGTGACCAACTGTATAGAATTGTTTTCTCAAATGTAAAATAGATAGACTTTTTAATCTTATTTATATTCTTCCGTGGATACTACTTTCTTTAGATCAAACATTGACCCAATTAAGTCCATAACACTAGGTGAGATATAATGGCCCTAAGGAGAGGTGAAGGTGCTGTATAGAGCTGAAATTTTTTATGCATGGGGGGAGGGGTTTCTTGGAAATCAGTGTGTGTATGTATCTCTGTATACTTCTACTAACAACAGCAGCAGCACTTCCAGAAGTGTGATTCTTTTCTTGATGTCACATTCAAAGCCAAAATATTGCCATATAGGACAAAAAAGGGCTATGGAGCTGCTACCAAGAAGATGATCTGGGGAAGAGTTGTATAACATTAATTTGTGCTTATTCTTTTATTTAGGCACCCTAACTAATTTTTGAAATGTATCTGTTGGGGTTTATTTTTTCTTACTTTGGAATTCCGGTTGCTATTTGCCTACAATACTGTAATGCATGTTGGCATTCTTAATACCTTGCATTTTGTAAGTAAAATGTAATGCTATGTTAGAACATTTTATATTGTGAGACTTCTAATTGGTTTAAGGAACAAAATTATGACGTTTTCTCCTTCAGAACGTATTCGATAGATTAAAATTTCACTGCCCATTGATGTTAATGAACATAGCTGTTTTATCAGCTTGGTACAATTTCATTCATTGCAAACTTGTCTCGTTGCTATCTTGGGAGAAAATTTGTTCTCTTCCACTTTCTGCTTCCAGGTCCTGTCTGTGCTGAACTTCCCCAAAGCCCACATTTTGAGACTTTTTGTGTTTTTGCACAGTTTCGATGCTTAAACCAGAAGTTCTATACCAAGGTAACACCATAAATATACCTTACAGCCATTTTACAGGGGTCAATCCCTTAATAGATAGTGACTTGGCTAAAATTAAGAGAGTAAAGGGATGAGATTTGAAAATGTCGTCAAGGGCATCCATGATGGTATGTGGGAAGGACCTTGGGAGACAGGAGAAAGACCAGCAACCTAGGCAACCATCTGATAAGAGGCAGTTCACTTTGCAGATGGGGAAAAAGTTGATAAGTGTGTCAGAAGAGTCTCTCCCCAGTTTTCCAGAGGTAAAAAGAAAGGAAGGGAGAAATACTTTCAGTCTTGCAAGATTCTATTTAATGTAACCTTACAATAAAGATAGTGGTGATGCTCCTGGTCAGGGGTCTCCAACCTTGGCAACTTTACGACTTGTGGACTTCAGCTCCCAGAATTCCTCAGCCTGCTCCTGGTTGTGCTTCATGTCTGACTAACATGAAGGGCTAACATCAATCTTACAAGACTGAAAGTATTTCTCCTATCCTTTTAATCACTGGAAGATCTCTTCTGAAATGCTTCCCATTCTTTTCCCCCTCCTCCCAAGGTCATTCCCACATACCATCACATC